TTATTCATTGCCTCTAAGCTTCTACTGTTCTTTGGCCATTGTAAAAATGCTTCCAAATTCCCAAGTTTTTTATAAAATTGGACACAAAACATGACTCAGTATTCAATATGTGGGGTTTTTGTTCTTTTTTTTGTTGTCCCATCTGTATCCTGTCATCCCATATGTCCTTCCCCCCCCATTAAAAATGCCTATCATCTGTTTAGGAAGCAGAAATAAAGTCTCTTATCAGGGCCAGAATCATGGCAAACCTCTGCTATTCAGATGTGATGGGTGATGCTAACCAAAGTCGTTTGGCAACTGGATGGAGATACTTGAATGCTTTCAGAAATATGTATTTCAGAAGCAAACAAATGGATAGATGGAAATTGCCCATTTGATTCTCACAGAGCTCTGTAAAAAGACTTTGATTAGAGCCATTACAGAATCACAGGACAAAGTGCCTTCCACTGCTGCAGGTGGTTGTTTGAGGAGATGAGACATACCTTGAACTTGCTGCTGCTGTGAGTGCTGTTGGGAACTTGAAATAGGATGTGCACTTCGTCAGCCAATGTTAAAACATGGAGAAACGGAGCAAATTCCTTGGCCAGCTCTAATGTAGGGTAATGAGCAGCTGACAAGCACTGCCCAAAGGACATGGAAAAATGAAACTCACTGGAACATGACATGACCAGGAGTTAAAAAGAACTAAAACTGAGGAGCTCATTGAAAAACAGCAATCACAGACCCCCAGCCTGGTTTGTATTGGAAGGGACCTTAAAGCTCCTCCAGCTCCAACCCCTGCCACGGGCAGGGACCCCTTCCACTGGAGCAGCTTGCTCCAAGCCCCTGTGTCCAACCTGGCCTTGAACACTGCCAGGGATGGGGCAGCCACAGCTTCTCTGGGCACCCTGTGCCAGCGCCTCAGCACCCTCCCAGGGAAGAGCTTCTGCCTAAGAGCTCATCTCAGTCTCCCCTCGGGCAGGTTCAAGCCATTCCCCATGTCCTGTCAGAGCTAACAGTGATAGCAACTGAGGCTCACAACCACAGGAGAGGAAGCCAAAAGCCAGGTGTGGGTTGTGAATCCATCTTGAATCGTGCAGACTGTTGAAGGGGAACTTGCAAACAACAAATAAATGCAGCTTTTCTAAAAGGCTCTAAACAAAAATGTGTAGTTGATTGGTGAGAAATAGCACATGGCCTTGCCATTGCGCTGTGGAACTCCCGAGTTCCTTCAATGCCACCAGCGTCCTCAGATAGCCAAATGCACTTCACAGTAACTAGCTAATGGCAAAGACTCCGGCTTCCCTCCCTGGAAATAACATTTCTGTGTTACACATCTGCTGTGAGAGATGTTTTCCTTTCCTTTCTCTTCTTTTTTTTTCCTCTTCTAGGCTTGGAGGAGGTGGAGAAGATTCAGATGAAAGAATTCAGTCTCTAGAGCAGCACTGATTGTCATAACTGCTATTGACTCCTGACCTGCTTTTTTTTTCCCCCATTGATCTGCAAATAGCATAAAAGCCAGGGCTATGAATCTAAAAATGAACAAAACAAAGCAAGAAGCTTCATCTGGGCTGTTGCTGATTGAGATTTATGTGATCTTTTGCAAAATTAATAGAATGTTGCTGAGGAAATACCTCTAGTCCTTCTGATTCAAAGAGGCGCAAATTGTTTCATTGTTTCTTAAGGTCAAGCAAAACCTTCATCGTGCAACTCATGAAAGGCTACTGAGCTCTCCATAAAATTAGATCTTGACCATTATATCACATCTCTCTCTGGATGGACTCTGAGGGATTCTTACAGGAGCAGCTGGGTGTTTTTCACATATAAAACCAGATTCCCAAGTGCCTCCTGCTCTGGATATCAGCACAACAGATCTGCAAAACCTGTGTCCTGGCTTGGGAAGGTGCTTCCCTTCAGGCCTAGGGAACAGCACCAGTGATCACAAACACATTCACAAGCGTTCTACCTCAAAAATTAATGCATTCGGCAAACCCATGCATCGGCTGACATGGTCTAGTATGAGGTGTCCTTGCCCATGACAGAGGCTTGGAACTAGATGATCTTAATGTCCTTTCCAACCCGCACCTTTCTGTGAGTCTATGAAATGTGTGGCCAACTGTAAAAGAAGTAGTTTTGTGTGCCTGTCAGGGGAGGAACCACGTTTCCCTCTGCACTGCAAGGCTGTGAGAGAACAGACACTGATCTCACGGATCTGAACCCTCTTCTTTCTTCCCTTTTTTCTTGTTACGAAAAGAATGGCATCATCTAGTTCAGCACGATAGCATGGCTGAGACTGCAGGAAGAGCAGGAAGCCTCGGATGGGGTGGGGAGGGTTGGTTGGTTTGTTTGGGGTTTTTAATTTCCCCTGCTTGAAAAGTTTAAGGTGAAAAATAGCAAAGTGGGGACTGATTTGGGAGCCACGGAAGGGTCTCTGCAGCAGGGAGGAAGGGTCGCTCTGATGCCTTTGGCTAAGGCAGGCTGCTGTTGTCAGATGGAAGGTGAGGCGATTATCGGTAGCTTTGGCAAATGAGCAAATCATCCTGGGACAAAAAAGGATTTTGAAGCCCTTGAGATGCTCTTGTGAGAGCGATGGAATGGGCGTCATTCACCGGAGAGGCTCTTTATTGGAATGTGTCCTTAAAAGGGAGAAATGTGGGGAGAAGCCATTGACAGGTCTTCAGGACCCATTGAAGCAGGAGTGGTGTGTGTCTGCTGGGGCTTGTGCACAAAACAGAGCAGTTCTCGGTACTTTACTCTTTTGTGTGGCTGCTGTTGGGACGAGGATGCCCTGATGCAGCAGTGCCGCTGGGTAAGCCCTCGTCTGGCTGAGCTGGGTGGTGTTTCAGACCAAGCGTCCATCAGACACATGCTCAGGGAGACACTAGGGTCTAAAGGTGTACGTTCTCAGTTTACAAGGTCGGTGATTTGAAAAGGAGATAGAGGTTTGATGACGATATTTGAGGTGAGGTTGGACGGGAAACAAGACATTGTGAGGATGCGGGGTGCCTTGAGAGCTGCTTTGACGGTGCTGACAGCAGAACTCAATGGGCGACGGTAAAAATGACACCTGAGAACTACACAAGGAGGAGGTTGCCAAATGTTTGGGATGTGCTGTTCTATGTTTGCTGCCTGCAGGAAGAATTCCTGTCTGGGCAGGTCCTACGGGAGATTGTTGTGTGTCTTCAAATGTGGGATGGTGACAGTGTGAGATGGGGGAGGCCTCTCGCTGATATTTGTAGAATCCCAGCCTGGTTTGGGTTGGAAGGGACCTTACAGCTCCTCCAGCTCCAACCCCTGCCACGGGCAGGGACCCGTTCCACTGGAGCAGCTTGCTCCAAGCCCCTGTGTCCAACCTGGCCTTGGACACTGCCAGGGATGGGGCAGCCACAGCTTCTCTGGGCACCCTGTGCCAGCGCCTCAGCACCCTCACAGGGAAGAGCTTCTGCCTAAGAGCTCATCTCAGTCTCCCCTCTGGCAGGTTAAAGCCATTCCCCCTTATTCTCTCATAGTTAACAATGATAGCAATTGTGGCTCACAACCAGAGTCTGTCCTGCTGGCAAACCCAGCTCAAAATGCACAGTGTTGCCTCAGGAATATTCCTAACTATTTTTCATGGCAAATGTTCGACTCCTGCTTGCAGGAAGTTCCTGCTGGTGGTCCCAATGGATGGTATCACGTGTTACAGCTGCTGCATGTGCACTGATAGAGGGAGTTGTCTCACGGTGGAGTTGTGTTTAACACTGAAAAGGCATCACTGTATTACAGTGATAATTCTGATGGTGAGAATTCCACATCTAAGATTTGCCAGCTGATCTCTCTGTCCTTATCAAGGAAACTCTGTAGTATCATGTGCTGCAGAAATAGAGGAATAATTCCTTTCTGTGTATGCTAGAATTACCTTTGGCAGCTGGAAAGATGTAATGCAGTGGGATACAGTGGTGAGGGGTACAGCTTACAGGAGAAAGGATGGAGGTTTAGTGGAAAAGGGAGCATTGAAAATAGAATTAGTAAGTGTTTTTTTTTTCTTACTTAGAATATTCTGTCAATCCTCCTGATGCAAATTGTGAGTAGGAAAAGCAGTGTCCTGGGAAAAGGCACAGCAGCCAGGGAGAGGGGAAGTGCCATGGGAGAGCTGGGTTGTGCTAGCTGGCGCATGGGGTGGCTGAGCTGCTCTGGAGGAACAATTCCTACATTGTGCAGGCCAGATGTGCACAGAGCAGTGTGGGAACAGCTCAGAACTGCCCTCGCTGCAGCAGCCCTGCCATTCCTTTGCCATGACAGTGCATCCCTTAAGCAACTTCTCTCCCTCTGATGGGAGGAGAGTGTTTCCCGTAGGAAAGTTGGAGATGTGCAGCCGCATGTCCTGTGAGCAGCAGCTACACGGGGAGGTGGGAATTTGGGTAACAAAACCAAGCGAACAAAATCCTTACTTAGCATCAGTCTCGGAGGCCGACGAGGTTCTGAGTGTGCATTGAACACACTGGAGGAGACCACAGGAGGAAGGCAGGCTGCTGCTCGTTGTTGCGTGGCTGTAGGGGAATAGTCTGCCCGTGGTGCTTTGCTCCTTGGTGACTGTCTCTAGTTATCCTGGTAGAATCATAGGGAGCGGAGCTGGCCAAACATCAGAGTGGCTGGTCCTGTATTCCAGAAAGGCCTGGATTGTTTGGAAGCCGTAGCAGCTCCCGAGGGAGGAGGAGGCCTCACCGTGGAGCTGCCGGCGTGATTTCCAGCACCGCCGCCTCAAACCAGCATTTGCCTCGCTGGCTTTGAGTAAATTTTGGTGAAATCCCAGGTGGAGAATGGTACAGGGAGCGAGTTCCGAGGAGGAGCGGCGGGCAGCAGCCCATGGATGATGAGGGCAGGTGGGAACCGGGTGAAGAGAGGTGGTGGGGGAAGGTTGCGGGCCGGGATGCCGCGGGGCGGGAAGGCCGGGAGGGACACAGCGCATCCCTCCGCATCCCTCTGCCGCCGGGACGGTTGCCAAGGCAACGGCTGCGTGGCAACGGGGCTGGCAGCGGGGGCCGCCCGCCGCCGAGCCGCCGCCGCGGCGCGCAGAGCGGGCGCGCTGCCCTCCTCCTCCTCCTCTTCCTTCTCCCTCCTCCTCCTCCTCCTCCTTCTCCTCCTCCTCTTCTTCCTCCTCCTCCTCCTCGTTAGATGCTGCGGCGGCCGCCCGGGAGCAGCCCCGCTCCGCGCACGGCCGCCGACCGCGGGCAGCAGCGGAGCGGCGCGGAGATGGTACCGCTGGTGCGGAGCGCCGGGGGCTCCCACCAGTGGCCGGCGATAGTGGTCCTCGGCCTGTGTTGTCTCCTACCTCCCGGGCGACTCGCTGCTCCCGGTGGGGACTTCCCCGGGGCGACCGTGGACAATCTGGTGGTCAGGAAGGGGGACACGGCGGTGCTTAGGTAGGAAGCGATATGGGTCGCGATGGGGTAGGAGGGATATATGGGGGGTGTCGGGGAGCACGGAGCGGAGCCGCTCTATCGGCCCCGCCGCCGCAGCATCCCCGGGGACCGCTCGGGTCTCCCGCGGGATGCTGCGGCGACTGCCTGTATCCCCGGGGTGATGGTTGTTGGCGTTGGGGGGTCCCGGTGCTCGCTGGAAGAGGTTTTAACTCTCCCGCTTTGGCCAGAGGTCTGTTGGTAGAAGTTGGCAACCGCAGGGTTGGGGGGGGTTTGGCTTCCGCAGCACTTCCCGGCTCCGCAGGAGCGGGAGTTGCGCCCCGGCAGAGCCCCCGCGTTGCTACAGCTTATTTCTGTGCTTTTTCCTATTTCCCAATGGAAAGGCTGCCTTCACCCCGCGCTTCCAGCAGCCCCAGCCCGGCTGGCTGGAGCGAAACCTGTTCGCCAGTGGTCGCACGCACTTAATCTGCTCGAATCCTCCGATTTCTGCCCATTAATCCTCTGGCTTGATTTAATTATTCCCCACCCCCTCCCAAACTTTGTATCCATTTATACTTTTAAATCCTACACACATTATCGTACTTTTCCCATTATTTTGCTCTACTTGAATTAAGCCCCATCTTCTGCTCTCGGGAACGCTGTTGCAGGGGTTTGAGCCTCTGCCGGGGTCCAACCTCATATTCAATTGCCGGCAGATTGAAGCAATGAAGTATCCCGCTGCATTATGTTTTCTTGGGGTGTCACTGGCTCAGGCCTCCAGGTTCCAACCTATTTTAGGCAGATGCCTTTTTACCAGTCCCATGATCTGCCATAGAATGCTGTAGAAGGCATTTTCAGTGGTATTTGGGGATGGTTTTATGGCAAGGCAGCCTGCTTCTGGTGTAGTAGCTGCTGAAAATACAGTAGATGTCTATGTAGGGCAACTGACAAGTATTTTCTATGTATCCCCCGGCCAGCCTCTGTGTTTGGAGGGGTCCTGAAGCCCTCGTGCTCTCTGCCTGTAGAACTGGGTATGTAAAGGAAATAATCTAAACAAGAAAGTGTCTTATTTGTACTGTTTCAGGCATAGAGGTGGCAGAGAGGGTAACGCAATGGGTTCGCTCAGGCAGTGCTAAACGTTATTAGGATGTAAACAAATATAGGTTTGGAACTACCTTAGTAAAACCTGTGGACTTGCCTCTGGGGGGGTTTCAGCTGCAACACAGTCGGTTCCTGGCCTGAGTCTCTGTCTGAAACTCGGTGCCTGTGCAGCTGGATAGGTTACATAAATGAAACTGGAGCCGTAGGATGAAAGCATCACTTTTGTCTCAGGAGGGAGGGAGAGGATCTGTTTTGCAAAGAGATGCTGCTGAAGGAAGCATTAACATCGCTACCAAAGCAATTAGGTGCTGAGATAACGGTGCCTTAAGTCTGTCTTGTCATTCTTCTTGCCCTATGATTAACTTCTTCCAGTTCATATGCCTGTTGTAGGCTTTCTTTCAGACCGGTTTATTTTGCTTTCAGCTGGTGGTGCCCTTTGAAAGGGGAAGTGCAGGATCAGTGTAAGAGACAGCACTTTGAGCAGAGGCTGCAGAACACGGGTAGAGCTGTTTATCTCGAGTCTTGCTGCACGTCGGCACTGCTCCTCCTCAGTTTTTCCTCACTGGGTATTTGCAACACTAATATATTTAAATATACATTTAATCAATTGCTGTTAGTATCCTAAGTCTGGGGACCAGGCTGCTCATTTAAATACGAATCCCGGCAAGCTGGATAATGCAATTGGGGTGTTAGAAAAGGTGGTTTTACATCCAGCTCTGTCGCCGTCTGAAGGCAGCTCCTTTCTGCCGTCGCACCTCACAGCACCCAGGGCTGGCCATGCCCAGGCTCCTGGGGCAGGGTGGCCATGGGGTCCGCTCCCTGGCACATGTTGATTCACCTCTCAGCTCGCTGCTCTAATTCTGGCTGTTCTCCAGCAGTGAGGGCTTCAGAAGTTGCCTCCTCACTGCTCCTAAAGCATCATCCACATTCCTTGCTTGAATAATTGATACTGAAGCATGGAAGTACTTCCCATGGCTTTGAGTCAGCACTTTTGCAGCTGCGAGGAGGTTGGGGAGATGTTCAGGGTGTGTGTTTTGGTGGAGGTGTCCCCTGTGGGGAGTGTGATGCTGGGCACTGGCTCAACAGACACCCTGCATCCGCTTCTGTGCATCTGAATTGCATATGGACCCACCTCTGGGGGTCCACAAGGAGCGTGGATGAGGGAGTTGTTGAACTGGGGATAAGCTTTGACTTGTGAGTCTCATTTTGAGCTAAAATAGCAGGGATGAAGGCGCGTGGGCTATTTCAGTGAATGAGGTGCTGAGCTGAGTGAGCCAAGTCCCAGTTCCCACATTAAGTTTTCATTGTCTTTGCTAAAGGTGAGAAATAAAGTCTCCGTTGACTGCTGAGGCTTTCCAGTAAAAGCCTCCAAGTGTTAACACGAAGTAAAACAAGTGGCACAGCTCCCTCATTTTCAAACAGTTAATGCATATGAATGTTTAATGCATCAGTTCAGCATTAAACGTGGGCAGCTATTCTCTAGTGCTGCTGAAGCCTGGCTGTGAGCAGCACTCCCAGCCCTGTGACCATCACCCCAACACCAGGCAACCCTTCAGCCATCACCCCTTACTGCACACTGTGGGGTAGGTGAAACCCTCATCCTTGCCTTGGTGGGTGCTTCTGGAACTCCCACAACCTCCCTAACCAACACAGGGCACAGCACCCCAGATGGACCCACTAAACAGTTGGCCAGTAACGTCCTTTAGCTCCTGTCTCGGTACAGAGCACATCTTAGCAATTGTTTTTCAAAGAGCATCTCTCATCACCAAAGGTTCTCTCTCTGATGAGGAGTTATTTCTGCAGCTTCCATAATTAAAGCCCTGGTGCCTTTTGTTTGTTTTCAGGCAGTGATGGATCTGCTCGTGTCACTGGTTCACGGAGTTACAAGGAATTATATCAGTAACAAGGTGGTTTTGTATGGCAGTACTATTTTGGGGAGCCACTTGCTTCAGAAGTGGAGTTCTGTCCTGCAGCTCGTCTATATTCTTCCCATATATTCTTCCCAGACAAGCAGTTAAGATTTAATGAGAACACATGAGGAAGGAGAGAGCAAGTTGTAAAAATGTTTTTTCATTGAAAGAATAAATGGCTGCATTGCAAACTGCTCGACATACAGAAGCAGTCTCTATTTCACAACTGGGTTTGTCTGCTGGATTTCTCTGTGGCTTCCTGTGCTGATGCTTATCTAGGTTACGGTGATTTGTGTGTGTGTCTCCCTTGGAGAGACCAGGTTTATGTTCCTTACTGGTCCCTACACACCTCATCTGTATTTTGTGAGCAAGCTCCCCTGGGTATCTCAATGTACAGATCTGGAGGTGATGGAAATGGCTCTCTCTACCAAGCAAAGGTTTTTTGCCTGCATTTTGTTTTTCTTAAAGCTCATGGATGATGAAAGCTGGTTTTACCTTGGTAACACTTTTAAATCATGCAATGACAGTAAGTGAAGTTTTAGAAGCTGAGTTTTACCATTATGTGATTACAGAGAAATTAATGAAATCCTAAAATCTATATGACGCAGAAATGTTTAGAATCATAGAAATATATACTCTGCAACATGTAAAATACAGTGTAGCCTTCACTGCAAAGAGTTAAACCTCATGCTGGGAGCCATTGGGTGAAGGTTCCCAAAGGCTGTGGTGGAGAGCTGAAGTGGTGGAAGCTATAAACAGGTAACCACATCTGTGATCACAGGGCACACGTCGGTTCTTGTTGCATCCAGCTGGGAATACCGGGGATCAGCGCCAGGCCAGCCTTGTTAGCAGGTAGCTCAGACCTCATCGATGTGCCTTTGACAGCGGTGATCTCTTTTGGCCATCCTGCGTGAGTGCGGTCTGAGGTTTAGAGCAGCCAACAGACATCTGCGAAGGGGACTGTAGAGGAAGATGGTTCCTGGCTTTGGTCATAGGTCAGGAGGTTTGGGGGTTTTGGTTTGTTTTCCAAGCTGGAATCCTTCACATGTAGCCTGGCTGCTTCTCTTCCCACCTTGGGAGTTTCAGGTCTGTGCTGTGCTCAGTAGAGCTCTTCCCTGCTTCGGAGTCATCAGGTCTCTGCTGAAGCCTTTCAGGTCCTAGGGGGATGTAGGACCTGAATCGTGTTGTAATGCTGAGGGGGGGTATTGACTTCTGGCGGCTGGGACTTGCCACTTTTGCCTTCTCTTCCAAGACAAGCTGCCCCGTATAGCCAACAGCCTTTTAGCGAAGGAGCAACACTGGTTGTGGAAAGCTTTAACACATCTGCCAAATGTTCTTCATCCCTTGTCATTCTTACTACCGAGACCCGGGCATTTGGAATGGAAGCTTTGCAGTACCAATAGCGGGTGAATATCAAGTATATACAGCATATTTGTATTTCAAGATGCTATATATATGTTCTAGTATTACAGTCCCTCTGATGCATGTCCAGATACCAGGGCTGGCTGCAGTTGTGTGCACTCCTGTGTAAATGCAGGTATCTCTGGAGTGCTGGGTGGTGAAATAAACACAAGAGTACTCTCCTTTCTGGCTTTAAAAGGTGCATTTCTGACTCCCGTCCTCTCTTGGTATTCCTGTGCAGTTCAGCATCATAAATTATTTGACTGGGTGAAGCTTTGCTCCCGTCTCTCTGGAATGTGACTGTGGTACATGTAGACATACGGGCACACCCCCGATGAAATAAAGTTGTTGTTTGGGTAAGGCTTTCACGTTCCAAATCCCCACCAATTATGAAACAAGCACACTGTGGCTCCTGCCCCGTGTCTGTGCACATAAATTCAGAGTAAATTAAAATAATTTATCATTTTAAACAATCATGAAGGTTTCAGACGTTGTGCAGAGGAGCCAACAGCGTAAGGAATGAAAATCAGAATTTCTTCCAAAGGGCTGTTCTATTGAGGAAAAGCCAGCGTTAAATGACTTTCTTTGTATCATCTACATTCAGGTACCTGA